GTTCCCATGCCTAATGGTTGATTTTGCCTGAAATCTGTCTACGTTGGCTCTGGCCAGGATTGGGCTCACAGTAGGTGCCCCTGGGCAGCGAAAAATGTCAGATGGAAACTTTGAACAATTCTTCACACAGTCAAAGTAGACAATACCATTTTTACTGAATTTACACAGCATCTTTTAACATAGTGCTTCATAGAACCATTATCAGACAGCATTTGACACTGAGTCACATGAGGAGGTGACCAAAAGCTGGATGAATAAGACAAGTTCAAGGAGTATCTTAAAAGGAGAGAGAGGGAGAGGGATCGAGGGGAAGAGAGAGAGAGAGAGCACGAGAGAGAGAGAGAGAGAAGTTTTGGGAGGGAATTCTAGTGCTTGGGGCCAAGTCAGCTGGAGCAGGGCAACAATAATTGAGTGATTAAAGTAGGGAATGCATAAGATACTTGAATTGAACAGTCACATATATTTGAAAAGGGGATGGCAGGGGGATGTTTCTGTACCTGGGCTGTAGAGGCTTGTACTGATCCATTGATTTCTTCAGCTGTGGCCTCTCCCTGTTGCTCAGCAAAAGACTCTTCTATCTTTGTGCAGTTCAGCTTGAGCTGGGTCCTTGATCGACTGTTGACCTCTGCAGTCTCTTGCTGATCCTCATCCCCTGACCCCTGATTTTTGTTCCGCTCTGCAGATGGCAGGTACCTGTCTGGGATGAAGATGCTGTAGCCTATGGTGCTCAGAAGTCTCCTCTCTGCGATGCATAAACTGAGCCATGCAGATCGCACCAGTTGGAGTCTGGGGGGCAGAACCTCCAGACCCAGGAGGCGTAAGGCACGATCACAGTCCATCTCATCATCCAGGATCACATGAGTAACGGCTGGAGAGAAAGCAAGGCTGACCTCCCCACCATTCTGTATAATCCGCTTGTGAAAGATTTCTGTCCGAGCCTTTCCAATCCCTGCCTGGACAATATGCACCACCACTCCACACAACCAGGTTTCTGTAGAAATATGATTTTAAAGAAAGGACAGATGAGCAAATACCCAATGATAGAATATGTTCATTTGGTCCTCTGAAAGATTGTGGATCATCTATCATTGACGTTGCTTTGTATGGAGGTGGAAAAGGTGGGATGGAGGGGAATTTGGAGCTTGGAGTAAGAGGTGGAGAAGACTACAGGGCAGTGAGTGAGTAACTGAAAGTTACAGATTTAAAAGAATTGGTAAAAAGAACTTGAGGGGAGATAAGAATGTTTCCCATACAGAGAATGGTTAACATTCAGAATGTACTACCTAATAACAGTGTGGAAGCAGATTCCGCAGGAACTTTGTAAGAGACTGCACTCCATGACAAGCCAAATGACCTCCATCTGTGCTATAAGATTCTTTCAGACTAAAGGAAGTGATCAGAAGTATTCCGCTGATTCACCAGCAGCAACACTAAGGGTGATCTGTAATTGAATTATGTATGGTATGCCTGATAGAGTCACACTATACCATATATTTATTTCTTCACGAGAATGAAGAATTTGAAAGACTCCTGCAGTGGGGCTCTGGAAACTGTCATCCACACAACTCTCTTTGCACTGTTCGAAACAGAAAGCAAAATCAATTATCCAGCATTTCTGAACAAAAGTTCAGCAGTAGGTCTGATCCCAGCTCTTGATAGGAGGGCGATTCCAGTTTGAGTTGAATGTAGGAGTTCGAGAAGAAAGGGAGAATTAAATCTTGGATTGGAAACAGAACTCCTATGTGCCATTCTCACTCTTTCTCATAATTACGGTTATCCCATCACAGCAGTTTACTGAGTTTTAAAACTGCAATGAATTAGAGAGCAGGTGGCATTATTGGAGGTGCCAGCCCTCAGGTGAAATATGAAAACAAAAAACTTTGCCTGGGTGGGTCAAGTGAATATTAACAGATCAAGTAAAGGAAAGAGTGTGCTGGCCAACATTTCCTACTCAGCTAAACTCTAACAAAAGACAAACTGATTGGCCAACCAGTTCAACATGTTTTTGTTTGGCATCTATCAGTGCAGAAAATGGCTGTGGGCCTACTTGACTTGCAGTGTGCTTTGATGCATCTATGAAAGACATGTTAAGATGCTAAATAAATAAGGACCTACTTTTGTACGGTGTCTTTTGTGAGCTCGGTAAGTCCCAAAGAGTGTTACTACTGCTGCGTTTTTGAAATGTGCACTGCTGCACAGTAGGAAATACAGTCTCCAATCTTAGCACAGGAAGAACATAGAAAAAGTGATATGTTAACAAGCAAATAAAGAATAATAAATACACCTCTTTCTTTCATTGTTCACCTCCAGATTCTGTTTAATTTCCATTTGTTTCAACATGCACACTACAAGTGCGAAATTCACAATTTGCTCTACCTTTACTGACTTCATCTGTTTTTACTTTCTTCTGGGTCACTCCGGATGTTGCTGGTACGATGTCTTGTGCTCGTTTCACCTTCCGAAATGCCTTGACAATCCCGTGAGGCTCCATATGACTGATTCACAGTTTGGGCATGCTGTTCAGGTGAGTTATCCGTACGAGCTGCCAACCACCCTGTTCCAAAAATTGGGATTTTACTTCCATGAAAGAATTTGCAAATGTCCATGTCCAACCCCATTTTCCAATGCCTTCCCAATACTGTCTGAAGTGTCCAGTTGAGGCCTAATCTGTGATTACTGGTTTGACATAGCTCCCTATTGCTTCATAATGAGGAAATTTCCAGAAACTTGACCTCCTCAGGGCAAGTGACAGAAGTGTTAGTGGGGAAGCACTTTGGGACCAGTGATCATAATTCCATTAATTTTAAAATAGCTATGGAAAAGGATAGGTCTGATCCATAAGTTAAAGTTCTAAATTGGGCCAATTTTGATGGTCTCAGACAGGAACTTTCAAAAGTTGGCTGGGGGAGGCTGTTTGCAGGCAAAGGGACATCTGGTAAGTCAGAAGCTTTCAAAAGTGAATGAATAAGGGTTCAGGGCCAGCATGTTCCTGTTAGAGTGAAGGGTGAAGCTGGTAGGAGCAGGGAACTCTGTCTGACTAGCGTTATTGAGGCCCTGGTCAAGGCAAAAAAAAGAGGCATATGACATGTACAAGCAGCTGGGATCAAGTGAATTCCTTGAGGAGTATAGAGGGTGTCGGAGTACTCTTAAGAGAGAAATCAGCAGGGTTTAAAGGGGACATAAGATGACTTTGGCAGATAAGGTAAAGAAGAATCCAAAGGGATTCTACAAGTACCTGAAACTAGGGAGACAGTAGGGGTCCTTAAAGTTAAACAAGGTCTTCTATGTGTGGAGCCACAAGAGATGGGTGAGATCCTAAATGAATATTTCTTATCAGTATTTACTGTCAAGAAAGAGACAGATGCTAGGGAACTTGGAGGAATAAATAGTGACGTCTTAAAGACAGTCCACATTACACAGCAGGAGGTGCTAGTGGTCTTAAAACACATTAAGGTAGATACATCTCCGGGACCTGATGAAATGTATCCCAGTACTTTGTGAGAGGCTAGGGAGGAAATTGCGGGGCCTCCAGTGGAGATATTTGTATCATCGACAACACAGGTGAAGTGCCTGAAGATTAGAGTGTGGCTAATGTTATGTCATTATTTAAGAACGGCTGCAGGGAAATGCCTGGGAACTACAGACTGGTGGGCCTAACATCTGTGGTGGGTAAGCTGTTAGAGGGGATTCTGAGAGACAAGGACTTATTTAGGATGGTCAGCATGGCTCTGTATGTGGGAAAGCATGCCTCATGAATTTGATTGAGTTTTCTTGAAGGGGTGACCAGGAAAGTAGATGAGGGCAGTGCAGTAGACATTGTCTACATGGACCTTGGCAAGGCCTTTGACAAGGTACCGTATAGTGGGTTGTTAAGTAAGGTTAAGTCTCAAGGGATCCAGGAAGAGCTAGCCAATTGGATACAAAAGTAGCTTGAGGGTAGAAGACAGAGGGTGGTGGGAGAGGGTTGTTTTTCAAACTGGAGGTCAGTGACCAGCAATGTGCCACGGGGATTGGTGCTGGGTCCACAGTTATTTGTCATTTATATAAATGGTTTGGAAAAGAATTTAGGAGGTATGGTTAGTAAGTTTGCAGATGACACCGAGGTTAATGGTGTAGTGGACAGTGAAGAAGGTTATCTGGGAATACATCGAGATCTTGATCCGCTGAGCCAGTGGGCTGAGGAATGGTTGGATGGAGTTTAATTTAGATAAATGCAAGGTGTTGCATTTTGGCAGATCAAACCAGGGCAGGACTTAAACGGTGAATGGTAGGGCCTTGGGCGATGTTATAGAACAAAGAGATGAAGGGGTACAGGTTCATACCTCCTTGAAAGTGGAGTCACAGGTAGATAGGGTGGTGAAGGCGGCTTTTGGCATACTTGCTTTCATTGGTCAGAGCACTGAGTTGCAACGTCTTGTTGCAGCTGTACAAGATGTTGGTAAGGCAATAGTTGGAGTACTGCATGCAGTCCTGGTCACCTTCCTATACAAAAGATATTATTAAACTAGAAAGAGAGCAGAAAAGATTTACTAGGATGCCACCTGGACTGGAAGGTTTGAGTTATAAGGATAGGCTGAATAAGCTGGGACTTTTTTTCCCTGGAGCGTAGGAGACTGAGGAGTGAGATTATAGAGGCATAGATAAGTCAGACAGCCAACTGCTTTTCCCCATGGTAAGGGAGTCTAAAACTAGAAGGCACAGGTTTAAGATACAAAAGGGTCCAGAGGGGCAATATTTTCACACAGAGGGTGGTGAGTGTCTGGTTGGGTTGCCAAAGGAAGTGTGGAGGCGAGTACAATTTTGTCATTTAAGAAACAGTTGGACAGGTATGTGGATGGTTACGTATGGGATATTGACCAAATGCAGGCAAATGGGACTAGACTAATTATGAAAACTGGCTGTCATGAACAGGTTGAACCAAAGGGCCTGTTTTTATGGTTATAAACCTCTATGACTATGACACATAGAGCTTTGTGCTTTGACAAGGCTTAAAACTCAGCTACAGACCCAAAACCAATTCAATTACAAGGGAATATGGAAAAGCGCTGTTCCAACTCCCCAAGGGAATCAAGATTAGGAGACCACAGTGACATTAGTTTATGTTGGTTGGTACCCAGCTCTTATATGACTTGACCCTGCTGCCAATGGGAACAGCTTTTCCCTATCTAGTTGTCTATCTTAGTGTCATTGGCAATTTTGGCTACAAGCATTCATTCTCCAGGGGTTGGTAAACACAGTTGGCTAAGTAATTAGATGTGGTGCAGAATAAAGTCAACAGTGTAGATTCAATCCTCATATCAACTGTGGTAGATCATGGCGACCTGCCTCTTCAGTTTATCCCACGTTGTAGAAGGATACCCTCAAAGCTATACAAACCAAATGTCTCTCCCTCTCTCTGTCTAATACAGGGAATAGGCCTATATTCCCTTGCAAGCTATGACTTCTTACATTACATGTGGTCCACACATTCAAATTAAGGCTGACATAGATTTTTAATCAATAACAGAGCTAAAGATATAGGGTCTAGGATCACTGGGCATAATCTCAGTGTAAGGGACTGCACATTTAAAGCAGAGATGAAGAATTACTTCCTGAGGGTAATGAATCTGGAATTCTTTACCTCAGAAGCTTGTGGAAGCTAAATCATTAAGTATATTCAAGACTGAGATAAATGGATAGATTTTTAATCAATAAGGGAATTAAGGATTATAGGGGTAAAAGCAGGATAATGGAATTGAGAATTATCACATCTGCCACCATCTCACTGAATTTCAGAAAAGATGGGCTGATTAGCTCACACCTGCATCTTAGAGTTATTTAAACTACTTCAAATTGGCATTAAACCAAGTAATGGGCCCTTTGACAAAGAATTAACAAAACATTGTAGGAAGGAGGGAAGATAGGTACCACTAGGAACTACGGATACTGGAAGTCTGAAACAAAAACAGAAATTGCTGGAGAAACTCAGCATGTCTGGCAAATCTCTGGAGAGAAAACAGAGTTAACGCTTCGGGTCCAGTAACCCTTCCTCAGAAGACGAAGGAGGAAGCCAGTCAATGTCAGACTCAGTCTTTAATACGGGGTTAATAACAAAAACTTCCCATTTTTTAAAAGTATGGTTAAAGCTACTCACCCCAGTCCGGAAGTGGAAATTATATAGACTGGTCATTTCCGGTTTGGTGTTAATTTTTTAAAAAAACTTAAAAATAAAATAATATTTGTATTTGTCGCCGGCAGGAAGAAAGCAATTTAAAAAAAGAGAGAGGTAATCGGATTCCGCCGAATATTTTTTCAATTGAAATCAGTGCAGCTGCGGCTTTGGTGGGGGTGGTGGTTGGTGATCGCGTCACCATGGAAACTGCAACAGTACAGCAAGATGGCGGCGCAGAGTTGGCGCGACAGTCTGAGGGCGGCGAGAAAAACGGCGGTGGTTCAGGACGGTGAGGGAGAGGACTGGTGGTGGGGCAGGAGGGTGAGGGGCTAAACAAACCCGGCGGTGGGGTAGAGGGTAAGGGATGGAGAAGGAAGAGCGGTGATACTGAAGGGTGAGAACAGCAGGAGGGTATTGGGATGGGGGCGAGAGGGGATGGAGATTGAAGGACAAGGGAAACAGTAGTAGTATAGAACGGGGTAAAAAGCAGCAGCGGTGCAGGAGGGTGAGACGGGGATGGGGGAAGGGAGGTGACAAAAACAGCAGTGTTGTACAAGAGTGATGCCTGGGGGACCCGAGAAGGAGGGGACAGACCATGGATCCGAGCGACTGAGTGCAACAGACTACATAAGTAAACTAATAACCAGAAGAACTGCAGATGCTATAAATCAGGAACAAAAACGGAAGTTGCTGGAAAAGCTCAGCAGGTCTGGCAGCATCTGTGAAGAAAAAAATCAGAGTAAACGTTTCGGCTCCAGTGACCTTTCCTTAGAACACTTGAAAGATGGAGGAGAGAGAGAGTGGTGATGCTGAAGGGTGACAACAGCAGGAAGGTGTGATGGATTAAGGGGAGGGTGATGGGGTAGGCGGTGAGAGGGACTGGGGATGGCGATTGAGGAACAAGGGAAATAGCAGTAGTAGTAGTTTTGTAGAAAAGTAAGGGATAGGGTAAAAAGCAGTATTGGTGCAGGAGGATGAGGTTGGGGCAGGGTTCTGAGGAAGGGTCACCGGACCCAAAACATTAACTGATTTTTTTTTTCTTCACAGATGCTACCAGACCTGCTGAGCTTTTCTGGCAACTTCTGTTTTTGTATAAAAATAAACTGTTAGATTGAGGTGTTCAAGATGATTATTGGAATAAAAGTACCCATCCAGATGCCCTCTTTTTAAATGTTGTAATTGTACCCACCTCCACCACTTCATCTGGCAGCTCATTTCATAAACACACTACCACTTGTGTGAAAAAGTTGCCCCTTGGGTCCTTTTAAATCTTTCCCCTCTCATCATAAACTTACACCCCCCCAGGAAAAAACCTTGTCTATTCACCCTATCCATGCTGCTCATGATTTTATAAACCTCTATAAAGTGTCACCTCTGCCTTTGACGCTCCAGGGAAAATAGCCCCAGCCTATTTGGCCTCTCCCTATATTTAAAACCCTCCAACCCTGGCAACATCCTTGAAAATCTTTTCTGAACTCTTTTAAGTTTCACAACTTCCTTCCTATACCAGGGTGACCAGAATTCCAAACAGTATTCCAAAAGTGGCCTAACCAATGTCCTCTACAGCTGCAACATGGCCTCCCAACTCCTATACTCAATGCACTGACCAATAAAGGGAAACATACCAAATGCCTTCTTCACTATCCTGTCTACCTGTGACTCCACTTTTAAGGAACTATGAACCTGTACTCCAAGGTCTCTTTGTTCAGTAACACTCCCCAGGACCTTACCAATAAGTTATAAGTCTGGCACTGATTTGCTTCTCCATAAATGGAGCATCTCGCATTTATCTAAATTAAACTCCATCTGCCACTTCTTGGTCATTTGATCAAGATCCCGTTGTACTCTGATGTAACCTTCACTATCCACTACACCTCTATTTTTGGTGTCATCAGCAAACTTACTAACCATACCTCCTATGTTCACATCCAAAAAATTTATATAAATGACGAAAAGCAGTGGACCCAGCACCGATCTTTGTGGCACGCCACTGATCACAGACCTCCAGTCTGAAAAGCAACCCTCCACCACTACCCTGAATCTTCTACCTTCAAGCCAGTTCTGTATCCAAATGGCTAGTGCTACCTGTATTGCATGTGATCTAACCTTGCTAACTAGTCTACCATGAGGAATCTCGTCAAGTGCCTTACTGAAGTCCATGTAGATCACGTCCACCGCTCTGCCTTCATCAGTCCTCATCATTACTTCTTCAAAAATCTCAATCAAGTTAGTGAAACATGACTTCCCATGCACGAAACCATGTTGACTATCTCTAATTAGTCCTTGCATTTCCAAATACATGTAAATCCTGTCCGTCAGGATTCCCTCCAACAACTTGCCCACCACCGATGTCAGGCTTGTCAGGCTTACCAGTCTATAGTTCCCTGACTTTTCCTCATACCTTTCCTAAATAGTGGCACCACATTATCCAACCTCCAGTCTTCCGGCACCTCACCTGTGGCAATCGATGATACAAATATCTCACTAAGGGGTCCAGCTTTCACTTCCCTAGCTTCCCACAGAGTTCTAGGGTTTACCTGATCAGGTCCCAGGGATTTATCCACCTTTATGCATTTTAAGATGTCTAGTACCATCACTTCTGTAATATGGACATTTTTCACGATGTCACTATCTATTTCCCCACTGGAAGGGTTTAGAGGAATATGGGCCAAATGCTGGCACATAGGACGAGATTTATCTAGTCGGCATGGACAAGCTGGACCAAAGGGTCTATTTCTGTGCTGTACATTTCTATGACTCAAAAACGTGCAAGGGTATGGGGAAAATGCAGGAGTTGGGCACTAGATAATAATGCCCACTTGAAGAGCTGGTGCAGGCTTGATGAGCCGAATGATGTCTGTCTGTGCTATAAGACATCTGTGAAGGAAAGGAGTGTGTGCTGGGGGTGAATAGAGTATGGTACAAACTCTGCCGGAAATGCAGTGCTGGAGTGTAACGGAGAGGAGAGAGTGCAAAAGATACTTAAACTAAGTTTGCTGGAGGTTGGGAGAGCTTGAATGTTAGGTCTCAGACTAACTCCATATGGATCAAGATTTAAAATGTAGATCTGGTTTAGTGCAAAACTTATGTAATTTTGTAGCCTTTTTGTACTAATTGTAACTGACTCATTAAATGGCTTTGTCTTTCTCTTTACTCCCAACAAGGTAAGAGGAAAGTACATTATCTCTTTCCAGATGGCAGTGAAATGGTAGAAGAGTATGGAGTCTCCAATGATCAACTCTCAGGTAAAAATCATATTGTTCATGGCAGACTTTCCGATAGCAGTAAGCTGGTCAAAGAGTTTCTTTTACGTTTCTTTATAAACTTGAGAACTGAAAGCAATTTTGTACATGCTCTTTCAGAAATCCTGTCCTTGGTGTTACTATCAAGGGCAAAGCTGCAATAATTTGGACATCCTCAGCTGCTCTAAACCTGTGTTGATGAACCTTGTCCTCACTGGTGTCCTTGTAGTAATGACATTTCCACAATCGTTACTAAACAAACAAAAAAACCCAAAGAACTACTGATTCTGGAAATCAGAAACAAAAACAGAAATTGCTGGAAAAACTTAGCAGGTCTAGCTGTATCTGTGGGAAGAAAGCAAAGTGAATGTTTCAGGTTAGTGACTGTTGAGGTTGGTTGGCTCGCCGAGCTGGTTTGTTGTTCCGCAGACGTTTCGTTACCGTGCTTGGTAACATCCTCAGTGCAGCCTCTGATGAAGCATCGGTGTGTTTTCCTGCCTGGCTTTTAAACTCGGGTCCGTTGCGATGGATTGCCTCACTTCCGGGTT